AACGTGTGCTAAACAGTTGTGGTATCTCCCCTTCTGCCCTAGGCTATTCACATTTCCTATATCCTCCTATTACGCTTTCCCTTTTTCAATTTTTACTGCGCCTCTTTTGATGTAGTGTGGTGTGCTTTTTTAAGCGGCTTTCATTAAAACCATTCACACTCAATGCTGTCCTTCTCTCCCCCTTCACCCTTGTGCTGGGAATGTTGACCAGAGTCTGTCATATCGGTGTAGCCCTCTTTTTGGTCGCATTCTCAATCTCGTTTTCGCAACTTTGTCGCAGCGTCATGGGGACAGTGTGGAACATACCAAGTCCTGTGTCTTCTGCCATAGTATTCGTACTTTCCAGCAACCGATACTTTCCCAAACGTTTCACCGGCATCGTCAGCACAGAGTTTTAACTTATCAAAGTGACAAGTGAAGGCAAACCCCTTGACCAATTTTATGTTCAACCGCTGTGACATCACTCCCGCCCATATTTTTTGTTCTAACCTATAGTGTTGCTGCTCCTTCTCTCAAAACACACTTCATATGACCCATCTACATATTCACACAATTCTGTGCTTTCGTTTCTTCCAATGTGCACCGGGGCACAGTGCCCCGAGTGCTCGGGAGTGTAGCCCATAAAATGCGGCAACTGTGAGCAGATAAGAGAAACAGAAAGAAAACTCAGCCTATGAATCAAGGAACATCAAAGACTTCGCGGGAAGATAGATCCTGAAAGATCCCAAATAGCGGAACACACCACACGGAATAAAGTGGAAATCGACAGAAATACAGGAAAAAGGAAGGTACGAGAAGTGAGTGATATCATGAATGAAAGAAATCTGATGAACGGGAGACTTAAAGAAGGCAGGATTGACGAAGACTCTGCACACTGCCCAAGCAAACTTGGAGTAGATCAAGGAACAGCAAGGTCAATTAAAAGAAGGCGAGAGAATCAAAGTAATATGAGATGTATTCACGCAATTTCGTTTAAGATGATGAAGGACTGGTAGAAGAAGTATTTTCCCACAATGATATGAGTTGATCTGACGCTTCCATTGAATTTCACATAGCCTTGCTTTCCCAAAAGTTGTTCTCATCCAGGCTGGATTGCAGTTTTAACCTCGCATCGGTCTTATCAATACCCCAACAGGAGTCGAACCGCGAGAGTGCAGGATGCGAGCCTGATACGCAAACTACTCGGCTCAACTCATATAATTGTGGGGAAATTCTTCTTATACCAGTCCTTCATCACCTTAAACGAAATCGGATGAATACATCTCATATTACTGATTTACTGGTAGTAATGAAAATAATACTTAATTCGATAAATAAAGTATAGTTGTCGATTGTTATAGCAAATATACGTTTGCTTCATCGACAATTCCACCAAAGTATATTATATGGCAAAAAGGCCTTGCCTTCCTTGAAAATTCACATTTGTCCTGTGACCCAAGGGCACTTGAGGCAATGTTGTCGAGTGGTTGACGTGTCAAGCTCCCATTCTGAACTGTCGCGGTTTGACTCCCGCTGAGGGTGTTGATAAGACCGATGCGAGGTCGAAACCGCAGTCCACTTTTGCCTGGATGAGAACAACTTTTGAGAAAGCAAGGCTATGTTAAATTCAATGGAAGTGTCAGCTCAACTCATATCATTGTGGGAAAATTCTTCTTCTACCAGTCCTTCGTCACCTTAAACGAAATGGGGTGAATACACCTCATATTACTGATTTACTGGTAGTAACGAAAACAGTACTTAATTCGAAAAATAAATCAAGGTAATAACTTCAAGAAGACTCGTTAGCTTGGATATGTCTGTAAGGATGATACTCTGCTTTGATTGTGCTTGTCATACGACAGACGGAAGCTCAGCACATTTTCACCGGAATCGAAAAAGGGAATATTGTCAACAAGAATGTCTCAGTAAAGCCAATCGACAGCTGGTCAAGCGGAATCCGTCGTCGTCTTCTGGTGGGATGGACCTTCAAATCTCTTCGGCCAAAGCGATCACTCGAAATGATGGTAAGCTTAGCAATTATGAAACAAGAGATTAATCGAAACCGAACTTTTCTTCTTTTAATAACTTTAATTTTAGGAAAAGAAATCGCAAGTAGGTCACAAAGGAACAATCGGAAGCTAAGAAAAGACGTCTTCGGTGAGCCTAATCAAGGTAAGCTAAACAACCATAACATTTAGGCTTTGGCACACAAGAGATTCGGGCATAAGAAAGTTAGAGAATTGGCATTCTGTATAAAAGAGCCAGAGATGCAGCGGAAACCATCGATAGTTGGCAATTAGTAGTCGAGTCTGATCATAGGCGTAGTCCGTGATGTAAAGGCTTAACCACGAGATTTACTCGGTGCACATACGGCACAGTGATGAGGGAATCTGTAGCGTCAAGCTAGGTTTCCATGCTACTTGTGAAGCCAATATTTAAGCGCTTGCTTAGTGAGGCTGGAGGATACGTGCTATCAAAGTCTTGAAGCAGAATGTTGAAAATAGCGTCTTAAGTAGCATGGATACGGTGGCAGTGATCGAATGAAATCACTGAAGCAGGCAGATAAGAGGCGGAACCTACGGAGCAAGAATTGAACTCTGATAGGACTTGGAGGATGAGATTACGAGGATATAGTGACAGAGAGAGAAATATCACAATTGTTTAATAGACAATTATATGCTTAGAAAAGTTGGGTTTAGAGGAATCTCTTATTTCATAATTGTTGAGCGTTCTTCCAACATAAGACGACGGTGGATTTCTCTTGACCAGATGTCGATTGGCTTTACTGGAAGATTCATGCTAACACTGTTTCCGAGGTAATCTCCTTCGATTCCGGTGAAAAGATGCTAAGCTTTCGTCCATCAAATGACGAACATCATCAGAGCAAGCTATAGAGTTAAGAAAAG